TATTCCGAGTGTTGGAGAAAGAAATAAAAGAAGTAATGTTCTGATGGTGTAACTATCTGGCCAATTTTCTCGAGTATTTTCATTGTTGCACAGTTTCTTACAACAACGAGACTCTAACCTAAAATCTTAAACTTCTGTCTCGTTTGAGCTAAAACTATGGGAGCAATTTCATGGACTTGTAGTTTTAGTGGTTAAGAATATTCATCATCGCATATAAGCTTTTGAAGTGCAATTACAATCTTGTCACGCAAAAATGGATCCACCTAGCAAAAAATACGAAGTTGTAATTCAGTATTTGTTCAAGATAGTGCTATTCAAATGCTGGTGTGTGAGAAGTAAAATTAAATATGAACATAGCAGCACCGGGACCTTTCCCATCACTTCCCTTGTTGCTTCCCCAAGAGAAAAATGAAAAAGAATAACTAGATTGAAACGACGGCGTAGTGACGGAATTTAAAACAGTGAGTCGAAGATTTAACATTTCCGGAACCCGCAGAGGTGTGTGACGCTGTCTTCTGACGGATAATCAGTTGCTGAGAGAAGCCATGACCGGAGGTTGCAGCATCAGAGCCATCTGGATCCTCAACAGTCTCGACGCCGTCGTTTTCTCCAGGTCCTCTCCGAACACATTCTCACGCTACCCTCTCTCCATATCTATCCATCTATTATATTGCACAACCACAACGAGCTAATCTTAGATACAATTCTGCTTCAAAATTCCAAATTCGATTCGAATTTGGTAACCCTAGATATTGGGGGTTTTGAAATCCTACGCCCTAATTTGCTCCTGAGGAAAATTCAGCAACATACAAATTGTTGTTGTTATTGTTTTTTTTTTTTTTTTTTTTACCAAAAATTATTAATTTGATTGAGTAAAGCTAACTAATTTGTTAGAGGAGTTTGTGTATTGGTGTACGGAAGCTATGATTGATAACTGGGATCTATGGTTGTGTTTCTTGGCAGCCAAACAGGGATTTATAAAATCTGAGTTTTGCTGAATTTGGTTTTGTTTTGTGATTTTTACTACTCAGGAGGTTTCCAGTGGTAGAGAAGCGGTGGAGGGGGGTTTGCAAGAGTGAGAACGAGATTTCGGCCGAGGGTGGTCTTAATTCGAGTGTCTTTCCTTTACTTCCTAGTGATTCAGAGTTAGCCGCCGCATTTGTAGATAGAAAAAGAAGGTCAGTTGAGATTCATTTCTGCTATGTCACTTTTTTCTCTTGTTTCTTTTTCTTGGGCTGTTTCTATAAAAATCATGTGAATATGTATTTTGCTAAAATTGTACATCTTGAACTATCAGATTTTATTAGCCTGGTTGATTGAATCACAACTAATGTGCTAAAACGTCTTCGTTTGTTTGAACATGTTAGTTTTGTGACTTACATCTAGTATGTAGTTTTTCTCTGTTACCTCACTCTCACTCTCGCGCTTGTTTGGGTTTTATGGGTTTCTTGTATTATGTTATTAAAAGTGATTTTCTCATTATAATTGTTGTATCCCTCCTTCTGTAGATTATGGTAACTTTATCACTATGTTTTTTATTTGTCAATGTTACTAGAATTTGCTTTTTATGCATGTAGGGAGGGGTCTCTTCGTGGGTTTGGGGTACGCGTAAGTCAGTCAGCTGAAGGCTCAGATTCTTGGGTTGATGATCCAATCACACGTCATATCATAGGAATTTACATTAGCAATGAAGAGGGAGGGGACGATAATCTGCTCTGGCCTTTAATCTTGCACACAAAGGGCCATTATTGCATCCTTGTATTGCCTATGGTGGAGCCCAGGCATTTAAAGGCATTTGTAAAGTTATGTAATAGATCTGATTGTGGCAATGCTGTTGGAGTGGAGGACAGTATATCTACCATTCTGCTTGATCTTCCGTCCATCACAGGGTATGGTAAGTTACTTTCAATATCGTTCAGGAAGAATATCATACGAGAAACCATAGTTGTTTTGTCATTCCTCTCCGTATTTTTAAATCAATTTTTAAATTGGCATATGAGCAGTGCCTCAATTAAACTCGTGAAGGGCACATAAATTAGATTAAAAATGCATAAATGAGATTAGTGTGTCCCAGATGTTTGTGTAAATTTAAAACCTTGCACATTCCGTTTTGCTTTCTATTGATGGGATGCACTGATTCCAATTTTTTTCCTTTCCTGTTTTTTTGCAACGTTTCCCTTTCCTCCATTACATTTTCAAGGGGCTGGCATTGCATGTTTATATGAACTCTAAAGTATATATTGAATCAACTGTGTAAATGGAACGTGCGACTTTCTTTAAAAACATTAAGCAGTTATTTTTCTTTTTTGTTATCCCCTAGTGCTTTTATGGTGGCACATGCTATTGGTGACATAATAATTGGTGATGTGGCGGAACCTGAAGTGGTCGTAAGTGCATCCCCATCTGTCGGAGGATTGTTAGACTCACTAACTGGCAGCATAGGAATATCAAGCATCTCCTCAAGGGCGAAACCTGTAGCTGCACCAGTTGCATCCTCAACCCCTTCCGGCATTGCAGCAACAGGAACTGTTACATCAGATGCTCTCAAGACTGGTTCTAGGCCTTTAGATAAAGATGCTCTCCGAACTTTCATAAGTAGTTCAATGCCCTTTGGTTGGTACTTCTTACTATGTATTTCTCATCTTGGATTTGTTTTTTTATCATTATCGCTATTGACAATTTAGTGGTTCACCTTTACTATGACCTGTTGCTGGTTTAGTGTCTTATGTGCTTGCTGATTGTACATATAGGAACACCGTTGGATTTGAGCTTCCCCAATATTCTTTCCATTAGGGTTAATGGCTTTTCTTCGTCAGATCTTCCTCCTGCAGATCTGAAGCAACCTGCTTGGAAGCCTTACCTATACAAAGGAAGGCAGAGAATACTGTTCTCAGTTCATGAGACTGTCCAAGCTGCTTTGTATGATCGAGACGAGATTCCAGATAGTATATCAATTTCTGGTCAAATAAATTGCCGAGCAGAATTAGAAGGATTGCCCGATGTGACCTTCCCCTTAATAGGGTTGAATGCAGATCATATTGAAGTTTTATCATTTCATCCTTGTGTTCAAGTTCCAGAACAAGGTGCTGATAAGCAAGCTGTGATATTTTCACCCCCGTTAGGTAATTTTGTTCTAATGCGTTACCAAGCAGTTTGTGGTCTTGGACCACCCATAAAAGGATTTTACCAGTTGTCTATGGTCTCCGAAGACAAAGGTGATTTCTTATTCAAATTACGGCTAATGGATGGATACAAGTCTCCTCTTGCTATGGAGTTTTGTACTGTGACTATGCCTTTTCCAACAAGAAGGGTTGTATCTTTTGATGGCACTCCATCGGTTGGAATGGTTTCCACTACAGACCATTCTGTGGAATGGAAGATTGTCACAGGTGGGAGGGGCCTCACCAAAAGTATTGAGGCAACTTTCCCTGGGAAAGTTCAGTTTGCACCATGGAAACCTCAAAAATCACCTACCTCTAGTTCAGCCTTTGGAAGCATAGCTGATGAAGACAGCGATATTGAGACAGATGGTAACAATAATAATATGGTAAATGTAGATGAGTTCCTAACGGAAAAAATGAGCAAGGATCTTCATCCAGCTGATTTGGAGGAGCCATTTTGCTGGCATGCATACAATTATGCCAAGGTACTTGCTTTGTCTTTGTTTTTTTCTCAAAATCAGTTGGGATTTCTTGCAACAGAGAGTGATGTCTTATCCAAAAAAGTCTGTTAGAAATTACAAATTAGAGATATGGCTTCCATTATATCGATCAAATATTCGGATTTAAATTTGGTTTCATTGGTTTTGTTCTCTGTTATTGTTATTATACTCTTGCCAGTGTCTATGTGGATTGAATACTAAAATAGTAATGATAATACAAATTTTGTCAAGTGTATATTTTGTCTGTGTCAGTCAAGCACACCTTTGTACTTTAAAGTGTTTAAGCATTTATTGAAGACCTAGCTTTAACAGAAGATGGCGTTTCCTGACTCATGTTTACAGGTGTCGTTCAAGATTGTTGGGGCTTCATTGTCTGGAATGTCATCAGATCCAAAATCTGTAAGTTTTGCTTCCTTTAATTCTCCTGTCATGGCCTGTTTCGTTACACGAACCCAGGGATAGGCAAGAAGAGGAATATTCTTGTTGTATTTAGCTCATATTTACTTGTATTTTTTGTTTGCTGGCTTTCTTAATTGTTTCTTCTACACGCAGGTAAGCATTTATCCAACCGTTAAAGCACCAGTGGAGTTCTCTACTCAGGTGGGTTTTTCCTCAGACTTCCCTATCTTCAGGCTTGATATACTTGTATTACTCTGAGAATGCATGCTGCTGAAAAATTGTTAGAAAATGTTTGCTAACGTCACTGTCCATAGCAGTTCATTTTTGCATCTTCTTGTTTGACTTGTGCTCATCATATATAAACTAGCATAAGTATATTATATGTAGTCATGGCAATGCTACAGATGGACCAATGATTGTTTCATAACCTGTGAAAGTAAAATTCTCCTTGGTTTCTTGTTTCTTCTAATAGTAGCAATTTCATTGTTTAAATGTGAAAGTTGAGTATACTTGTCAATCCATTGTTCCTTTTCACTTGTTAAACAGGTTACTTCTGGGGATTATATTTTGTGGAATACGTTGGGTAGGTGCCCTTCTGTTGCTGTAGCAAAAGTATAGGGATGGATATGGATGGCAACCCAGGAATATAAAATGTAAATTCAGGGATCAAGAATGCTCTCTTTATGTAATCCGAGTACACCAGATCCGTGTTTTAAAGTCCGATGTGTGCTGGGGGGACGGATTTTTCAAATTTCGGACCTCCTATTTTGGCATTAATGGGCGTAAACCTTTGTTCTTTGCTAGAGATGGTGTTAAAAAGAAGGGAGGTCAAGTTTATGGTCTGATTTGTTATGAAATGGCGTTTTAAAGTTTCTGAATAGATCACTCGTAATTTTATTTAGTGTTGGAAGAGAAGCCAATCTACCCGTCCTTGCTTATATGCTGTTAATTACATGAATATTATTGGTTTGAAAGGCAGTTTTCGACAAATTGTCATTCCTTTACATTTGTTCCTTGAAACACAAGAATTTACAGGTTCCTAACCATACAAAGAAGCCTTCAAATGGCCATTTACAAGTTGGATGGTCTACTCTTGGCAACAAATTTTTGCCATCCAGGCCCCAACTTCTTCGCACGAGCCAGCGGACGAAAATGACATCAAAGGCACGGAGAACCCGAGATCTCATCGCGAAGTTTGCCTCCTCGGAACACACTCCATTCAAGGACTGTGTTATGATGTGCATGGTTCATGACTCTGCATTTTATCTCCTTTCATGCTCTCTCTTCATGGTTCAACTTTCTTCTCTCTTATTCTTCCAGAAAGTGTCTCGACGAATGGTAGAGATCGTATGGTGCCCAGAGATGATCGACGGTGCATGGCTTCCGGGAGTCCAACCTCAACCATGGCTTACCCTTCCCGCTCCAGTGCAAAAGACTAATGGGACCAGGGTGGAGGCTCCTACACCTTCCTTCAAAGTTGTCACCTCCTAAGCCATGCTGGTTCCACCGGTGATCCACAGCCTTGATGTTTCCGGCCAAAAGCAGCAAAAAGGGCGGCAGAGACCCCAAATGGTATAGCCTCTTTCGCTTTTGCAACGCCATCCACTCCTCAACCTTCTGTGTATACCCTCCTTTCCTCCATTTATCCACATCCACCACCATCACTCCTGTGTTGAAATAACACGGGTTTCTTCCTTGGAACGTCTTCGACAAATCCTGGTCACACCAAAATGCGTTAGTGAAATACTCTGTGAAATTTGCCCGGCAATATTCCGGTGCAGCCACCACCATATCTTCCATGTCCACACTCCATAGCTTGGCAATGTCATCCACCACAACGAGGTCCGAGTCCAAGTATATAACACGTCTCATCTCATTCGGAAGGATGTCAGCAAGATAGATTCTAGCATAATTCATAGGCCGATCCAATGCTTGTCTTATAGATTTTGATATCTTCCCGCGAACCCGGTCCGAATCAAAGGCATACGTCTTGAAGTTCAAGTAAGGGAACGTAGACTTTATGCTGGAAAAGAACTTGGGCGTCGTATGCGCGGAGAGGAAGTGAAAGTAGAGATTTGCCGGGCATGCCGAGTGTTGCAACAAAGAGAATACGGCAGCCATTGTGCCGCGAATGTAATTGGCATCTAGGGTCATGGCAACATGGATGCCATCCGCATTTTCGGAGCCACATTGCTCGCCATTTCGGAAGGCAGGCGCTTCACGGAAGACGGGAAGGTCAGGGGAGGGACGGGGAACAAAGCCTAGGCGAATGCCGGAAGTGGTGGTGATGGGGTGGAAGAGGAGGATGGACAGGAGGCCAAGGAGTATTGGGAGAGAGGTTGGAGTACTCAACAAGGCCATCCTGTCAAAGGTGTTTTGGTATTATTATTTTGGGGACTTTTGGGAGGTTGTCTCTAAAGACGTAGGCAACGGAAGCGATTTGAAACATTAGAAATTGGGGGTTTTTGGATGTGAGAAGTTGGTAGAGAGAGAAAATCTCCGAGTATTTTGGGTTGCCGAAAAGTCGAAAGGGGTCATTTTTTTTTCTTTCTATTTGTGGCAAATTTGGATGATCTTAGTTAGGTGTTGACAATGTAAAAAATAACCCAAAAAGTACAGGTGCATACCCAATTTCACGTTTTGCATACTTGTTTTTCACCTTCTGCACTTCCTTTGTTAATATTAGCCTTTGATGTATTTATTTATTCAGCTTAATAGCTAGAATGAAATAAAAAAGATGCAAGAGGTGAAACATGGTGCGCATAAATTATTCTTATGTTTATATTTTTACTACCCATAAGAGTGTTCGAGCTTTTGATTAAAAAAAAAAATGAAAAACTGTCCAAAACACCTTCAAAAACTTTCATTTAACCATAAGGACAAATAATTTCAAAAATGTCAAAGTTGCCCTTGAAAACCTTCAAACAACAACTAAATGCAAAAGATAATAAAGTATGGGCATGAGATCCAGGAGACAAGGCATGCAAGAAGTCCACATGCCGTTCAAAACAAAAGCAAAAGAAGACAAATAACAGTCCACTTTTAGAAACAATGACACCGACAGTTTTCAGAAATAATGCAAAGTTACTATTCAAAAAAGTTGTAAATAGTTGTTTGCTTTTTGAAAAGTTGTTCTGTCGCTTAGGAAATTGATTTGTATATAAAGGAGCATTTCCTCCCATGCAAAAACACACTATAGTCACACCATTCTTCAATCTTCATACACTCAAGCATCCGAAGCCTTCCTAACATCCTTTGTAAACTCTTTCTTGTAAACACTTCTCTTTGTAAACATTTTACATATCAATAAAAGTTCAAGTGTACATATTCAAGAAATCTCTAAGCCTTAAGTAAGTTATCTTTCTTTCTTTAGTGTATTTGTTTAATTAAACTTCTAGTCTAAAATAGGAAAACACTATTGTAGTTATAATATTAACCTGCTAAACTTAGTTGAATGCTTGGCATACAAATAACTGGACATTAACTAGGGTACCTCTGAGTTCAGATGTTAAGGCCTTATACTTGCATTGTAAGTGACCGTCATGCTGAAACATGTCAAGTTCTATGTGCAAGGTTTTACGTCTAGTTGTTATAATCACCATCTGATATTTAACCAAGCCTTTGCTTTACGAATTTGGTATTAGAACCAAGTTTAACATTTTAATAGTATAATTATAATAGTAAAGTATATTGAGGATGGAAGTCATTAACACAACTGATATTACACACTTGTTTAATTTTGTATGAACAATAGATATTATTGTCCTTGTAGACCTTGTCAACCACAACCACCAGGTATTTATTATCCTAGACACCCAACTATAACTAGCATAAAGAGAATATTAGCATATATATATATATATATATATCCAAAAGAATTAGTAAGACTTTGAAGAAGCATAAGTTTTATCTTGGTTATCATGAACACCATTCATTTATTACCAAATATAATAACATAGAAGTGTAGCATAGAGTTTTAGAAGCAAAAAGAGCAACAGATCAAACTTTAGAGACCTTGAGAGAAGAAAGAGAGTTTCTAAAAAACTAGTTAGCTGTAACTTTAGAGAAATGTAGACTGTAGTTGTCACATCCGGGTTCCGTAGGAACTTCGTAGTTAAGCGAGAATGAGGCCAGAGCACTCCCAAGATGGGTGACCCACTGGGAAGTTGCTCGTGAGTTCCCAAAAACAAAACCGTGAGGGAATGGTAAGCCCAAAGCGGACAATATCGTGCTACGGTGGAACCACCTCTAATGGTCTATACGACATGCACCTAAATTGGATCCAAATGTGAGCATATGGTGCGGGGGTGACTAGCGATTTATCGCATAGCTATCAGGAGAGGATAGCGTGAGCATAACTATATTTCACCCAATTTAGTCGCACAAACCTTTTCAGGGGTTCCAACTCGTGTGCAGTGTAGTACCGTACATGTCACTTGCGATGACTCCGGCTAGATAAGATTGATGAGATTGATTATAAGCTATAGATTCAACCGTATAGGCCACTATAGGTGGATCCGGTTGACATATTGTTTGGCATGAGTTACTTATATGATTTGATGAGATATATATATTTTGGCATGGCATATAATTCACATATCACTATTTCTGAGCTGGTTTTGAGATAAGTAATTATATTTTTATATTCCTGGGAAAGTTACAGGTTTTACGGCGAGGGGTTAGAACCTTTGAAAAGAGATAAGGTTTTCGAAAAACTTTGTTTTACTGACCCACTCAACTTTGTTTTGCGCCCCTCCAGGTTCAAGATAGCAGAGCTTTGGTGGCCACGAGGAATCCAACGGTGTTCTGACATAATTCACAAAAGTAGGATTCACCCTCGGGTGTTACATCTTAGTAATTGTATCTTTAAAGCTTCCGAACTGTGTAAATGGTTACGTCACTCTCACGTGACGGCCAACATGCCCTCCTTCGGGACGGGGTGTGTCAGTAGTTTATGATAGATTATCTTAATTTAAAAATTAACGAACCACAAAAAAGAAAAATAAACTTAGACCAAAATAGTTTAGTTCGTTATTTTCCATTAAGAAAGCATAATCATATTTTACATAGTGAAGAAAATCCACAACCAATAGTATTGTAGATCTTATTATTAATCAAGCAGAAAATATAAAATTAGAAAATAATAAGCATAATCATTTGTTAAACTAGTTGTTATAACATTTTCAGAAAAATTCCACAAAAACAATTAGACAAAATTTAGATTATATTACATCTCAGTTAAAAGATAATAATAATAATATTCAAAGGTTTCCTAGCAAAAAAGAGATAAAAGAGATTATTGACTTCATAGATAGTAAGCCTAAGCATGTAGAACTTAGATCGCTAGAGATAGTTGAGCAATTAAAATTAGAAGTTCAAAAAATTCAATTAGTACAAAAAAATTTGAGTAAACAAGTAAATAAGTTGCATAATAAAATAGACAGATTATTAGTTTAATAACTGATTATAGAACTAATAGAAAATAAATCCAAGCTTTGAAAGAAATTAGTAAGTTAGATAAAGAACCAATATGTTTAACAGATTTTTCAACACTAGTAGCTAGTAGTAATATTCCTATTAGACAAAATAATTTAATTATCCAATTAGTTTTAATAGCTGAAAAATTAGATCAAGTTGAGGAACAAATAGCAGAAATAAATCAAGTTTTACATAACGCATCTTCATCACTTCCACCATGTTTGTTAGAAAAATAAAAAAATTTAACTTTGAGTACAAATAATCATATTAGAAGACCTAAGATAAATCATTTTGATAATAGAAAATAAAACTCTTTAGGAGAAAATAAAAAAGAAGTAGTTGGAGCTGAAGATAGTTTTGAGAGAACACAGAGAAATAAATATAATTTGTATCAATTAGGTTTATTTGAAAAATAGAAGTAGAATTGTAAGTAGCACCAGTCAACATGAAGTTAGTTGTATTGATAAAGAAGTTACACTTAATTTACTTAGTAAAGAAGCAGTTACGCATTTGAGAAAATCACATTTCAGTCAGATTTACATAGGAACAATCTTAATTGGAATAGCAAGATTAACTAGAGTACAAGTCAGCACAAAAGTTCTAGTATATATATATGATGATAGATGAGATCATCACCAACAAGCAGCAATAACAACAGCTGAAGTCGACTTAAGTTCAAACTTAGCAGTTATAGGATGTATGCCAAATTATGTTATGACAATAAATGAATTTAGTAAATATATTAAAGTAAGTATAAGAACAAAAAATTATAATATGAAATGAGAGTATAAAAATTTGTGTATTAGCTTAATGTATATTGGTAATGTGTCTGATAAATATAATCATAAGTTTAATTTAGAATTTTAAAATTTAGTTCAAACATTTGGTAGTAAGCATGTAAATATGACAGAAGCAAAACCCGTAGATAATAGCTATTTAGAAGGAATTCAATGGATATTACCTAATTTACAAATAGCAAGAAATCGACAACCAAATAGAGTACAAATATATGAAACTAGTATAGGTGAAGCAACAAATAGATTTAGTAATTATAAGCTATTAGAAAATATAGAAGATGATGAGAATGAAATTGAAAATGAAAGTATTCATACGGATTTTGATAGTTTAGATATTAATTTAGTAGAGAAATTTTTTGATCATATTGTAGATAAGCTTATAGAAGATATCAATCATTTAGATGAAGAACAATACTTAGAAAAATATAAGACATATGAATTAGGACTTTATAGAATTTCAGATGAAGAGATGAAAAAAATTAATTTTAGAAATAGGAGCAGAACATATTTTAGGATAAAAAGAATATAATAATTTATTAGAGTTGAAAGTAGAACGTTATCCAACAGAAGAAAGTAGTACATTAGGAGTAGAAAATATGTAGGTAGAACTAATCAACAATTTTTGAGACAAACAAATGAACAATATAATGAATAAGCAGGAGTAGATTACACTGAAGAAAGTATGATGAAACCATCTAGAAAAAAAATAGGATTTCATATTTAAGAGGATTAAAACAAATTAATATAGCAAGTAATATATTAAACTTAGATAATGTAGATCCACAAGATTGGGAGATAAGTTGACAGATGGGAAAAATGTTGCGTACATGTAGCATTAATGTTAGATTTTAGTAATTCACAAAATATGTTAGATTATTTTGAGCATACTTTAAATGGTTTAGTTTTTTATTATTTTCAATCATGGAAAATTCAAATTCTAGAGCAGCTAAAACGTATTTTAATATTGATGGTTTTGTTACTTTAATAAAGTAAGAATTTTTAGATCATAATAGGTTAGATGACAAAAGCGAACATGAGCAAATAAGAGCAATTAGAAATTTAGAACAAATACGAATTTGTGATTTACAATATATAGCTGAGTATACATTAGATTTCTTT